TTCGTTATATCGTATATAATATGGAAAATATTTTTATCGATTTTTTCGTATTTCAAAAGAAATTTTTCGCTACAAAATTGTGATTCATTTGGAAACATACTTGTGCTGTGAATAGGTCGACACTTTTTCCTATGAATTATATGTTTACTTTGTATGCCGTGAATAAGTTCTGGTATTAATATACACACACAGCGAGACATGTATTCGCATAATTATATTATTTGTATGGCTTTTATATAATTGTCATCAAATTCTTGAGGCTTAGAGACAGTGTTTCTCTTCCCATTCAGACACCGTTTAAATATATGAATGAATAGCTTTTGGATTCTTTTGTCATCAAATTAAGTGCTTTTTGTGGCGAAAATCTAAGAAATAATATAATAGTCGATATGTTTCTGTGAATTCTTGTGCAATAATTCTACACATGTATTGAAACTATTGGTATAATAACTTACAGAATATTACATAACTGTATGATTGGGCGCTATTAAACGTTAAGACTATTGGCTTTTTGATACCTTCCCACTACTAATCCGTACTAAACTGTTCAAAAGATGCTTTATATATGTGATAATCCCATAAATTTGGTGATTAATTGAGTTTGAGTGGCATATATGTTATATTCTGTAAGTTTCCATAAGAATTGACTGCAGGGGTCCACCAAAATTCGTCTAACAATAACAGAGTTTGTGAACAAATAATACATTTATATGCCGTTTGGTGGCGCTATTAGTTCTACAAATTGCTATACACTGTTAGGAGTCACACACAATAACGTGACATAAAATAGTCAATAATAGAGACCCTAAACGCATAACATCCACGGAGTGAACGTGCATTTCAGTGCATAACTGTTGCGACCCCTGGCGTCACATCATAGACGAGTGACCCGTAGACTGCTATATAACTGGTGCTGTGTTTGTGTTTTTGACATCACTTGAGATTAGACGCAAAGAAATGTCTTAAGAGGCAGACATCACTTGAATGGTAATAATCAGTGTTATGGGCGACAGTCGACCCAAACAGCCGCACCACCCGTCGGACCTCCCGTTACCCGAACTCATCGGTGCGTCCGATATATTGACTGAAGAGCTGAGGAAAAAGGTCTGCATTTTGTTGTTTGCCTTCAAATGTATTGATTGATCGCTAACTCCGATCCCTATCCTCTCTCTCCCTCTCCCCTACGCATACCGTTCCCCATCCTCACCACACATCCGATACCCTGGGCGTACATACGGAACAGCTGTGCAAACACCTGCCGGCCCGGGCGGAGGGCTACTCGTGGACACTGATCTACTCGTCGGCCAAACACGGCTTCAGTCTGAAGACACTGTACAGAGAGATGACTAAATTCGAGTCACCCGTCCTTATGGTCATCGAGGATACCTACGGAACGGTATGTGTGGCCACGAGATGACAGTCCGCTGCCAATGGCTAATGAGTGTCTGTCTGTGTCTTGTGGTGCAGGTGTTCGGAGCGTTGATTTCATGCGCCCTCCGAGTCAGTGACCACTTCTACGGAACGGGCGAAACATTTCTATTCACGTTTGGGTCGGACTCGCGGCTACAGGTGTTCCCCTGGACTGGAGAGAACCTGTTCTTCGTGAAGGGCGACCAAAACAGCATCTCATTCGGCGCCGGAGAGTAAGTGTCTGTCCCGTTGTCTGGACGGGTATGCCATACGACTCTGACTGACAACTCATGCCATATGTTACGTGTGTTTAGCGGCAACTTTGGCCTCTGGCTGGACGGGGATCTCTTCCACGGCCGCTCCCATCCGTGCAAAACGTTCGGAAACACCAGTCTTTCCATTGAAGAGGATTTCGTAGTGAAAGGCATCGAGTGTTGGGCTTTCGTTTGAGAACTAATCCATTCGTTATTCAAATGACCACTAATTGTAAGACAATAAGACATAAGCAGACAAACCGTTTAGAGGAGTTCCTCAGCTCTTCTCAACGCATTTCTTCGCAAACAAATTCATACCTCAAACGAAACGTTGGGAACAAATGTCACACTCGTTGTCGTGGTTGTGGTAAATGAATGGATAATCCGCTGGAAATCCGTATATATTTTTCTAATAGATTCCAAACAAAACAAAACTAATATTATATTAATTACTATTACTATTAGTTGTGAGACTATTAACGAACTTAAGACATGATTTTTGTTGTTAAACTACTAGTCATTAATGTGTTGTTTAGAGAAACATATTGTTTCCGCCAATTGTGTCGCGAAATGTGTTGGAATTTCATGAGAAGTTAAATGTGTTTGACATCCGATTGACTGACAATTACCAGTGATTTTAAGAGAACCTGAGAACCAATCGCTTAATACAATCAATACATTCGGTGCTAAACCACGAAAACCGTTGATTATTATATGTTTTTATGATTTTCGCTGTTTTTTAACGAGAGTTTTGTTTGTTTTTTATTTTATTATTTTTTGTGTCGAAATTGAAAATTAATTTTTTTTGAAGACTACAAAACAAATCGCAATTTATTTTGAATGAGTTATGATTAGAAACGTGTGAATCGATAGTGCAGTCGATTTATACGGCAATTGTTTTTGTCACCAGAAGTTTATTATTATAATAAATGGATTTCACAACTGATGGCAATCATCCAAAAAACAATACAAATTCAAAATACAAATCAATCACAAGATTTCAAAGTATTTCCTCAAACTTCTGGAGAGGGAAGACGTGCGACGACTCTCTCTCTCTCTCTCTCCCGCGATGACGGCCCCCACGAGCCATGTGTTCACTCATCGGTTATTCCTCTTCAGCTCTTATCGTCAAACCCGCGGAACAAATGAATCATTCGTTTTGTTAATTTGAATGCCATTTCCAGACGACATTTAACACTCATTTCTTGAGTTCTCCGTAGACTTGGAATGACTACTGAATTGATAGAAAGGATTAACATATTTGTTGCAAAATAATGTAATACTTAAAACAAAAAGTACACAAAACATACACACGTTTTAAGAGATTAGATAGTCTTTCATCTCTTTCGTAGCGAAACTATTAGTGAAACAAACAAAATACAAAACAAACAAACAATTTGTAAATCATTTTCCACTCTCTCTGTTAGAGAGGGAGAGACAACTAAACTGATAATTAACTTTCTAGAGAATCAATCGACTTATTACTTGTATATCATATTTAGACATATTTTAATGGTTTAGAAGTCTTTTTATTTCTGATGAGAAACGCGAATATTGTGTAAAACATTAGTTCACAAAATACTATAAATACATATAAAAACTATATATTTTGAAGCGAATATACTGTATGTCTGGCCATACATAAGCATATTCTGTATGTAATTCTCTACACATTTGGTAACATAAAAAAACTAGAATTTTTGAGACGAAATAAATTAGTCCTTAAAATATAACTGATTTAGTCATTAATGAATAGAAAAACTCTGTTTTGTTGGCATTTCTAATGTATAGATTAAAAGCAAACAAATTATTTATTAAATAAATTGATGAAAACATGAATTAAACTATGATTTGAAGTGCAATTCATTGACGATCTCATGGAAAGTGGTGTTCACTTGTATACTGTATGTCCACATTCACTGTGAGATAGGCTTCACACCCACACGTGACAGGTAACGGTATATATGAGCAGTCCTTTTAGTGTTTCACACACACCGCACAACACGTTTGCAGCGATTGACTGACCATTTGGTGACCAAATCGGACACACATTTCCTTTCAACACATTTCACTGTATTTTCATTTCGCTGTCATTTGTATTGTCCGGACATTAATGAGTGAATTGTTTCGTTAGACTAACCGCTGGACAGTGTCTGCCATGTCATCGACATCTGGTCTCAATCTGGAAGCGTTGGCCAAAGAGTCGGTATGGACTGAGAAGTATAGATACGGTGACGCCGAGAGGGACTACCATTCAGTCAATCATGTATTCAATCCATTCATTTGTTCCCATATTTAAGACACGATGAACTCGTATACCGTTTTTTCAAAACATTATTTTTAGTCTATTTTTATATAAAAATTAATTTTTATTTTCTTAAGACTAGTGTTTAGTATAAGTTTTTTTTCGTTACTTTAAATGTAGCGTTAATTTAATTCATAAGCATTTAGTATATGATATGATTTACTCGTACGCAATGATATGTCATTATGAATGGTGTGTCTGTTTGTGTCTCCGTTTAGTGCAGACAATCATCTGATGAGCGCTCGAGAGGACGGGCAGATCAGCGACCAAAGGCTCAAAACTTGTCTCAAATTAATACTCAATCTATTGTCTCTGATATAGTGAGGGCGAGAAAGCTAATTAATAAGACGTTAGACTCTGTGAGTAATCCGCTGTCAACGCGTCCAACCATTCAATTAACCGCATGTTCTCTCACAACCATAGCTCAAGGCGCCGGTATCTCTCCCTCCCATCCCTTTCCCCCCGAATTTCTCGTCCCCCTCTCTCATCCCTTTCCCCGGCATTTAAATCTTGATTCTGTTTTCGTATTATTATTTTGTCCTTAAAATGATATAAAGTTTTTTGATTTTGGCCTCAATTTTGTTGTGCCCTTAAATGACTGATAAAAACACAAACTTTGCTCACATTTATTGGTCAATGAATTAATGGTTTTGTTTGCATTGCTCTGAAAGGACGGATCCGATGGCTTCAAGAATCCATTCGCCGATCGCGTGAAGCACTTGGAGGCCGAGAATCAGTCGCTTAAGAAAAGTATGCATTTTCTGGCCATTGAATGATTAAACAGTTTTTTGTGCGTAAATCATAACCCATTTGTGGATCACTTTCAGCGGTCAATGATTTGAGTTCTTTGGTGTCAAAGTTGGAGCTCAGAGTGTCATCACTGGAGGGGTCGTCCAAAGCAAGCGCTCCCAAAACGGTGGCCAAACCGGTGCCCAAACCCGCCGCCGAAGCCAAGAAGGAGGACAACGACTCGGACATCGATTTGTTCGGTTCGGACGACGACGAAGAGGCGGATGAGGTGCGGAAGAAGAGACTCGAGGACTACGCCAACAAAAAGGCCAAAAGTAATGAGAGATAATGTAGTGATTTGTTTGCGATTATATAAAACGGTGTTATATTTGGCGATCCCTTCAGAGCCCGGAGTCATCGCGAAGTCGAGCGTTGTGTTGGATGTGAAGCCATGGGATGACGAGACGGATATGAAGGAACTGGAGGCCAATGTGAGGAAAATCGAAATGGACGGACTCGTGTGGGGCGCCTGTATGTAGTGATGGACAGGTGTGTGATTGAAGTGTTTTAATTGATTTGTTTGGCGCACCTATAGCTAAGTTCGTTCCGTTGGCGTACGGCATACAGAAGCTGCAGATCGTGATTGTCATCGAAGACGATAAGGTGTCGGTCGAGGAGTTGACTGAAAAGCTGGAAGCGCTCGAGGACTTCGTTCAGAGCGTAGACATCGCGGCGTTTAATAAGATTTAATTGTTTTTTGACGGCTTTTATCGGTAACTGTTTATGCGATTTATTACAATATATGCATTAATAATGAAAATAAACGACAAATGAATTTGTTTTAAATTAGTTTCCATTTTATTTAATTCACAAAAACTTTATTTTTACTAAATGTTAGGAAATAATTGAAAGTTAATTAATAATAATATATAAAAGAAATGGTATTTGAATGCCAAACACAAACAGATAGGACTCTCAGTCCTCGATGTAGTCGAAGGGTTCGGGCGGTTCGGGTTCCGTCTCGTCCTCCACTTTGGGTCCGCCGGCGGCCACGGGTTCGACGAGTACTTCGGGTTCACTCTTAGAGCCGTCTCTCAACATAATTATCCCTCCGATCGACAGGTCTTTGATAGGCGTATATCGGGTGCCGTCCGCCGACTGAATCACTTTCAACTGCTGGCGAACGACTCGCGCGGGGTTTTCAAGCATTGAGAACAACGGTTCCGCTTCTTTGGGCTCTTTGTTGTCCTTCTCTTTCGCGTCTTTCGACTCTTTGCTGTCTTTCGCCGCAGTTTTCGAGTCTTTTGTCTCTTTCGCGTCCTTTTCGGTCGTCTTTTCCACCGTTTTCTCGCTTTTGTCGCTCTTTTCGGAGGCCTTGACAGCGCTGTCCTTCTCGTGGGCGGAGTCGACGTCCATCTTCTCGTCGCTCTTCGAGTCCTTCTTCTCCTGCTCTTTGCGTTTGGCTTTGGCTGTGATGGAGAGGACGGCTGTCGACACCTTTTCCCTCTCCTTCTCCTTCTTCTCCTCGAGTGGCGCCGGATATCCATAAAGAGATGGCTTAGCGTTGGATTTGATGGTCATCTGAGGCATCTTGAGGTCGGAGTTGAGTCCGATTACGGCGGTGGGCGTGAAGGCGAGGCATATGAAGTGCGCCAATGGATACCAATACCAGAATTGAGTGAACACTAACATCCCGACGACGGCCGGCATATTCGTGTGTCCGGTGCGGGTCTGGAGGCCGACCGTCACGTTGCGACCGCCGGCGTCGATGATTCCTTGAGCCAAAATGGCGCCGAACTTCGCCATCACGTCGTCGTGTTTGTCGGCAATCACTTTGACGTACAGCTGCCGGAAGTCCTTCACCTTCGGACAGTTGGCCTCCGTTTGCTGCACGAGAATGAGTGCCGACGCGATCAGCGCTCCCTGTCGTACATAATTGACCGGATCGTTGGTCATGGGCTCCAACAGTGCGATCGCCTCCTTATTGCCGGTTCCGGCACAGCATATGCCCAAAGCCATGGCCGCGCCGTACCTCACGTTCGGGTTATAGCTCTCCGACAGAAGGGAGACAACACTCGGACACTGTTCTGGTGTTCGGAACAGAAGGAAACCAATCGCTTCGACCGCAGCCCTCCTCACGTCGTCGTTCACGTCACTGACCGCCACATGAAGTAGTCTTCGGATGGCTTTGTTATTACCGGTCCCGCAGTACGCCATCGCTATGGTATGCATTCCCGACCGCCGCAGCACCGGATCCTTGTCTCGACTCAGACTCTCGATCAGAGTGTCCGCCTCTTCCAGACGCCCAAACATTGTGAGTCCGATGCCGACCGCCAGTCCCCTCAGGATCTTCTCGTGTTGGGTCTCCTGTGCGTACGAAACCATATCAGTGATGGCCGCCGAAGACTTCGAGCCCAACATCACTAAACCCATCGCAATGCCGGCCGCCTCGCCGGTGATGGCGTCGTCTTGGAATAGATTGGACTTCAGCTGCAAATCAATCCATTCATTAGACATCACTCGTCAGTGTCTCTCAAATGGCTTACGATTTCGTAGACATCATTCCGATTGGTTCCCATCGCAGCCAATCCCAGTCCCAAACAGCCTCCGTGTCTGACCGACTCATTCGTGGCGTCTTTCAATTGGTTCAACAGGTAGTCAGTGATGGCTGAGCCGTGATTGGCGTGAATCAGACCCAACGCGAAGAGACCGCCACCTAATCAATGGACACAACAGTTGTCATAAGAAATGAGTTATTCTTCAAACTCATCACTGAATTGATGGCAAACCTTCGGTATATCCACTGCCGGGTCCGCTATCTCGCGGCAAATACGAAGACATGAGATGCAGGGCTTCCTTCTCGTGGCGGATATGAATGACTCCGAGAGAGGCTGTGGCGGAAAACTTGGCCCAATTGACGGCTCGGGCCAACCAATCGAGATTGTCTCTCAAGAACTGGTCACTAGTAGTGCCGCAATGCATGAGTCCGTTGGCGATGACCGTCGCGTTATGACAGACGGAGTTCCTGACCGTGTCTTTCGTGCCCTTCAGTATCAGTAGATCCGAGTGGTTGTTGCGGATCAGGAACTGGAGCTGAAGTTCAATCGTCGTCTCGCCGCTCAAAATCACCGCTAATTTCTCCAAACGTTTCTGTCTTTGTCTCTCCTCTTCGGTCAGATCCTCGATCTTCGGCACCGGTATCTCAGACTTCGGCGACTCGTCCGCTGACGCCTCGGGTTTGGGTGAAGAGGCGCCGGCGCTCTGCTCGTCGGTCTCCATCTTCTCGACCTCAGCGGCAGCAGTAGTACTGCTCTCACCGACTGCGGGGGTAGCGGCGGACGTGGGTTTGGCCTCCACTTTGTTAATCTTGGCGATGAGCGCCGGTATGGGAGCCCCCGCCTGGAGCGCCTGTAGTACGCGCGTCAGGAACTGCTGCGTCGCCGACTCATACAAATCAAAGGCGATCTGATAGGCCATGAGAGTCGAGTCATCCGACGTCCGCGACAGCCGGTCGAGCACTTCGGCGACAGACTGGGCGTCGTCTAAGAAGATGAGGCACTGCGTCATCGACACGAAGTCCGGGACATCGAGATTGCGGTAGAGTTTGACGAGAATCTTGAGCACATCGTTCCGGAAGTGCCGGTTCTCCATCAGAGACATCGTTATCTTGAAGGCGTACGAGAGAATGGCCGCCAAATCGCCCGACTCTGTGATGGCGCGCTCGAAGATATCCATTCGTCGGGTCTCCAGCGCTATGCCGATGGCCTGCTTGTAGTGGTTGTCGTCGAAACAGCGCTGAAACATACGGTTAACGATCGACTCGAGGCGGGCGTCGATGGCGGGCATCGCCGGCGTTGCGGACGTCTGACCGCTGGTCCGCTATTCTTGTTGAGGGGATGGTGTCGAGAGATCCGATGGTGGAGTGGATCCCTCGAACTGATGACCGTCTCGGTGGGCGACCCACCGGCCAAATGGGGTAAGTAGTGAGGGTTCTGCTGAGTGAACGCCTCGATGGCCGTCAAGAACTGCTGGACTCGGCTACCGGCGCCGACAGAAAAAGGACACAAAAATTAAAAATGGCGGCCAATGAGTGGCCAGTCGTGTCCGACAAAGACTTACGGCTGACTCCTGATGTGTTGGATGCGCGCCAACTGCAACACCCCATCCAATCTGGTCCTCAGGATCGCCCAACTGTTGGGCGCCATGTCTTCGCTGATCCCTTCCTCCGACAGCGGCTTCTCGTCGTTCGGGTGTCTGCTCCGCAAGAAGGCCTACAGTCTGTCTCACAGTTGCCCCATATCTGCATCTTCTCCGCCGGTATGTGGGATCAACTCAAGAGTCGACTGTATTGTACGTTTGCCCCACGATTCCAGATGTCCGACAGTCGGTGGTTGTCTCGATGAACCGGACCCGTTGCCCACCGCTTGCATTGTATTCCTCTTGAGTATTGTCTGCAATAGACATGGAGTTCGAGTGATGTGGTGACGACTGGGTCTGCGACTCATTTGATTAGATATCTGTGAATAACGTTGTCTTACAGTTATACCACTTTTCACTGGCACTCTATGCAAAACACATTCACATATAACGTTACGAATACAGCAGAGATGATCAACCGGAAGTAATAAGCAGACATAATGTCTGAACACTATGATGCAAAACGTGCATTTGACAAATGACATTACAATGCACAATGTTGTCCGACTTATGCCTATTTTATTCCCACAGAACATATCATTGTATAGATGTTTAATAATATACTAAATCCAATTGAGTATAAGCGTTTTTAAATGGTCAGTATTTGAATTGGTCACTAGTGGTCAACATTTTCTAAAAATGATTGTTATTTAAATTTAATATCATATCGCAAAATATCTATAATAATAATTAGTTACATCAATACTGACCATTACTGACCAAGGCTAGTACTGACCACAACTTAATTATTATTATAATAGAAACTATTTATGTTGAATGCAACAATAATTTAACATAATTTTTAAATAATGGCCATAACTGACCACAAATGGTCACTAGAGTCGAAGTTTGTTGTTTAAATTAATAATACTAATAATAATGAGTCAATTAAATTCACATTATTGTTTGAGCTAGGTGAGCAGACTCTTTATAAAATATGCAAGGTATGTCATGACATATGTCATTTGTGGCATTAAAGACATAGGGGTCTGTTAATAGGCAATTAAATAAGCGATACAGTAGATCCTGCATTATGTGTACATTTGCTCACTTTTTGCTCTCATGATCATGACTGGAATACAGACATTAATAAGCCTTTACTTTTGAGTTATTAAACTATTTGTTTCGATAGCCAAGAACTTCATGAGATTAATTATGCATACGAATCATGTAATGAGGGTCATTTTAAGAGTTTTATTTTAACTATAAATAACTATTTGATGAGTTCGTAACTATTAGAAAATTTCAAGTGTTTTGATGAAAAGCAGTGAAATTTTACATTTTTAGGGCAGATTCTAGTAGATTATGAATTTATAATTTATTGAAAACTATAAATGATTGTAACTAAAGTTATTAAATAAATTTTCTTATATAAAATACTTAACAAATATAGAATAGGTACACATTCTTTATAACATAGTAGAAAACAATATTTATGTCTACATTTTGTGACAGTTTTTTTTGTAATAATTGAAATATTAAACATAATTTTTGATTAATAATACAATAATAAGCGATTATGCTTTGTAGTTTACTATTATTTAATATGTTTTCTAAAATATAATTCAAAAAAGTAAAAATATACATAGTTTTGATGAAAAATAAATAACTATTTAAGTAACTATTTGACCACTTTTTCTTAACTATGATAGACACTATCAGGTTCATTTTAACTAACTAGAAAGTAAAGCTTT